ATGCACAGTGGCGACAGCCACACTTATTAGCTCACTGATTGAAGTACTTTAAGAAGGCTGATTGTTTACTTTGGTATCCAAGGCAACAATGAGCGTGTAGGGATCCTCGATGCCCAGGAATGAGCAGCGGCGCACTCTCTCCTTGCGAGGGACGATGGTGCCGCCCCGTTGGAAGACTGGGATCTGGTAGATACAGAAAGAACAAATCATAAGGATGCAACGCCTGCCCTGTGGCCATGTTAGGAAACTCACAAATTGTCATCTTCCAAAACAAATACCGGGTTGTGGCAACCAGGAATAGACATCATGGTTTCTCACTGTAGAATCTTCTGCCGCAAGAGCCTTTGGCCATTTCATGAATGTCACAAAAGTAGACATCACAGCAAACCACATGATAATTTTTACTTAGTAGAACTCTCAAGAAACAGTCAAATGAACTAAAGCAAGAACTCACCACATGCACATAAGCCTGACACATCTAGGCAGTGAATTACACTTAGCAAACTTTTCCTGCTTACCAGTGAACATCGTCACAAAAACGAACTAACAAATTAAACTCCATAGTCGTGAAATATTTCACATTCAACAGCTTTGTTACTCTTTTACTGTGGTATCAAAAACATGTTAGTGAAAATCCCAAGAGGAATGTATGAGACGAGAGTCAAAATTAAGTTCCCAACAGAAACAGTATCAGAATGGATTACTGATGGACATAAGCCCAGCACATCAGGACTTGACCCTGATATTTGTCAATATGCATATGTCTCAAGAGTTTCTGCTCAAATACAAATTCTGTCACAGCTCTATGGACCATGTGTACAGAGCAAAACTCCCTAAGCCAAAATGCTAACCAACATTCTTGTTAGCTTCATTCTCTTCTCCATCCTTACAAGATCCCTTCCTCTCATACCAATGTTTATTACCGATTTGTACCCATTCAACTGAAGAATATATAACTATATCTTTTATTACGGAAGGCCCACTGCACATACCTTCTCAAGATTCACATAGATGGTCTGTGTGCTGGGACCAGTGTATTTCTGTGCTGTTTTCACGTCATACCAAATCTGATGAAATAACGGTAAACGGTTATGAAGGGGGCTGATATCAGTGTCAATCCAACTGTCATCCAACCATTTGAAAAACGAGTAAGTTTGTAAAAAACTGATGAAAACTAAACACAGAGATCATGAGATGCATACTAGAACCACTTCAGCACTGATTTGTTTACAAAGAACCTGTTGGAGAGAACAGGGTTTATTCATACATAATATTTGAACCTGAAAAAAAAAAGATGAAGTTCCCCACACTATGTCTAAAAGTATACAACTCCAGCACAGGATGTTAAAAATGGAGGAAATGATAGGAAACGAAAATACAAAGTCCAACATCCTATCAATGTAGGAAAAATATAATTTCTGTACAGCACTGACTTTGAAGTACTGCTCGTCGTTTTGTCTTACACTACAGAAAGGATAATCTTACCGTATCTTGTCCAGGAAAGTAAACACTGACAGAGCTGGCACCTTTGCTGGTAACGGGCTCAACGAGGAGGGAATCACCTTCAGAAAGGGAACAAACATAGGGGAATGCAATTTATTAGGAAGGGGAAATTTGGAGGTTCAAAGCTGGGGCTCTCGACACATATCATCTATGCATATTCTTGAATGCATCACAGGGACACGGCAGTTGTGATAAGTCACAAATTTTTTGTCGGGCAGATGTTACTTTTTATTGGGTTTATATTACTCCAAACTGACATATACATGTTTTTTAAAACTCTGCCTACTCAGTATTATTCGAAAGAAAGTGAAAAAACGTCACAACCTTGCTCGGGTGGGACTCCGACTGAACTTGCCGGCGTTATCTGATCTCTGGTTATCACCAAGGTATACCTCACGTGTACACAGTGATAGCACAAGGGGATCTTGGACCAATTGTTGAGGGTGCTATGTAGCAACTATACAAGTACCCTTCATTGGCAGATCAGGAGGGGGCAGGGGAGGCAACATGGGCCATGCCTGCCCCCCCCATAAAGGGGACAAGAATTTTTTCGGTTTTGAAACATGAGAGAACGGTAACATTTGTGGGCTTGTTTCACTTCTCTTGATGCTCAAAGTGAGTAAAAAGCCTCTACAGTTAGCCTCATCCCTAAGAAAGGTCATTAAAGGTTACATTAAGAAATATCCTAATTTTTTGACCTCCCAAATACAATTTTGGCCCTCGTTCCAGAATTTGGTTCTGGATCTACCCTGAGTCATTCTTGAAGATTTTTAGGCCTACAGACTGTTTTGATGTCAAGAGACAAATCATATATCATGAAAAAGCTGCAAAATGGAAAATTCCCCATTTAGTGTGGAAATGGCCTTACTGCTTCAAGAACCAACTCCTTGGCTAGCATCGTGACCTGTGCTTATACTGTAACAACTACAGAAACACTTTGATTTTAGCAGAATTTTAACGCCAAAAGAGGCAGGAAGAAGTTGGACGTTATGTTTCTTGGAAGTCACTGAGAATTCCATCGCACCTATCATGAACTGGTCCTCCATGGCGAAGGTCTTGGGATCATCAGGAAAAGCCAGCCACATTGGTCTGTGGAAAAGTTGGCAGAAACAAGGAAAGAATGTTGTCACGGATTAAAGAACTTGATGCGCAGGGTGGGGAGAAATTATGCAATGGATTGGAAAGCTGAAGAGAAGAGAAATTACAACTCGCAACCTCCCACAAATGACCTTCAAGAGAAAACGGTGTCAAAACTCTTCACATTGTTGTATCGTACAAATCAATAAAAACACGTCATCTTTCAACACAGATTAATCCAAACTGTAAAAAATGTAAACATTGGTTTTAGATCTTCCTAAACTATTTATGGTAGCTTGAAACATGAAGTGGGCGTACATTATAGGTGAAAATGTGAAATAGTCAGGCATAGGAAGTTTTAGGAGTAGTGAGTAAACTTCAACTCCATCTTCCTAGGCTTAGGAAGCAGAATGGACACAGCTTTGATTTCTTCCCAATATTCTTCTGCTTCATGAGAGGGATCCTTGAGGGTGTGACCACTGCCTCAATCCTGCAACCTTCTCCGGGAATAACTTTCACTATGGTCCTGTTTGTTTCACATGGATCTAGATCTTGATCAGTGATCCTAATGCCAGTTTACTCTCTCTATTACGCAAGTTATGGTGTCAGTGAACAAATGTCGGATTACTGATTGTGATCCGGATCCAGGCAATTCAAACGGGCCCTATGTGGAGACAGTGTGAATGATATCTTGGAGCAGTGCCGGTGACTTCCAGTATGATCTAGGCCTACGTTTATACAAGGCTGAGCATTGCACACAAGGTGTGGCCAAGACTTTGAATTGGCGTATCCTGGCAACTCGGCCACACACATGTTCTTTACACAGCCTCAATCCTCCAAGATCCTCTGAAACCACTTGGAGGATTTGAGGTTCGGGCTGAAGAGGCAAACAATGACCACTCCTCAATCTCTCATGACTGGCTCACCTCATCACAGGCTGGCCAGTTTTGGACGCCTTGTAGAACGCCGTGTACCAGTAGGGCAGCAAAGCATAGCGCGTGCGGATTGCCATCCTCACAACGTCCATCATGTTGGGTGGGAGAAGCCATGGCTCACGGCGCTTGGTGTCCAGATGGGCGTGTGCTCGGAAGAAGGGTTGGAAGGCGGCAGCCTGGGGCCAAATCAGAGTTTTGAATTTAAAAAGAATCTAAGCTCTATGTCTGAAAAATCTCAAGCACACTGCTTTTTATCTCCCCTCTATCTGCGCATGGAACTGTGTGGGCTTGGTCATACTTGATATTTTGTGCATAATTTGGGTCGCACGTAATAGCTACGACACATTTTCGTAACAAAAGAGAGAACAAAAATTCCAAATATTCTGTTTTTTCCCAAAACAAATTTGACACCCCTCCTCCCTGAAAATTTGGTTCGAAACCTAACCATGCCGAGGTGGCAAAAGTGTGCATTAAAACATCATCTACGAACTCTCCATGCCAGAGATAAAGGAAGGACATCACCATTGAACTCGCAATTTAACTAATACATCTAAGGCCCTAGCGGTCAATAAACCAGCAGATTATAAAACTATTTTATAGAACAATGAGAAGGAAGTTAATTCCTTACCTGATACCATCTAGTCAGTAATTCCGGTTCGGGGTTCTTGAAGAAACCTCCAACATCGGCTAACATTAGAAAAAAAAAAAGGCCCATAAGATATAAGAACAAGAAATTTCAAACAAGGAAGAACTAACAATTACTAACGAGATTCATACCCAGTGAGCAAGTGTCAATAAAAAAATTCGCAGAGCTGCTTTTGCTTACCACCTATGAACGGGATACCAGCTATGCTGATGGAGAGCAACATGGGCATGCTGATCTTGAGATGTTCCCAGCTCGCCTCATTATCACCTGTCCAAATAGCACCTAGAGCAGAGGAGCAAAACAGTCAGGAAGCCGCTTGGGACACGTAGTGCCTACTGTTCATGCTAGCTCTTGTTCCATTAGCATTTTTCAAAATCCAACAAAGTCTAAATCAGCACCTCAACAGAGACGTAGAAATCTTGTCAAATAACTAGGTGAGATTTTGGCTGAGTCATATGAAACAACTGCAAAAACGTTCGTCTGTCCATGCTCGCCTTACTACTCACGAGTAAAGTTATGGCTGGATTTTTGATGGACTTAATGCCCTGTTCATTACTTACCTTCCACACAGGGCAAAGACCCAATCTGAAAATCTTCCACATTCTGTTTCAATAATGGGCAGCAAAGTTAGCCACGTTTTCATCATGTACGTGCACTCCTTTAATTCACGGTCATAGGGTCAATTGCAACAATGGAATCTGTGTTCTTCTGCATTCAAATGACCACTGCTTCTGTTTTAAGTGAGACGTCAAAATTCGTGGAAGGACATGTCAGTTTGTAGGTCCCAGTTAATTATCTTGTTGGATTCTACGAATAAATTTAAGGATCCCACCAAAAAAGTTGACACTATTTTCTGTGGTGTGTCCATTCTGATATGGAGAATTGTTGCCCCAAACATTCCATTCTTTACCATATTTCTGGCTTCCTGTGAAGAAAGCCCTGGACAAGACAAATGATCGCTCCTTCCCATTGGATCTTCGATGTTGACCATCAACAGTTGCCATGTGCTAAAAGATGAATAAGTGAAACAAAGCCCAGAAAGCAGCCTTATATTTAATCATACCAAATTTCAATTACCAAAAATTGATGAGATTGACACGACAGAGGAAACTCTGAGCCTCCAACCTAGAAATCCATTTTTTAAAAATAGCTAACTGTGGACGGAAGATGTGGGAACTTTTTAAATTTTGGCACACTTCAGAAAAGATTTTAGAAGTTTATGTTCATTCACTGAAACAGCCATTTCAGTGGTGGGGGGGGGGGCTAATGATCCAACCCTTCCCTCACCAGCATGCAAGAAAGCATCTTGGAAAAGGCAGCAACAAGATTCTACCCACTTGTGAATTGCATTATTTAGGCCCTAAAGTTTACATTTCCCAAAAAGGCAAGATCAGCTGAGACTTTCTGGCTTCCCGCCACACATCTCAAAAGTCATCTGAACAGTTTCGTACGACATTTCTCGGCGCAATCTCATATGAGCATCCGCTGAGTGACGTGTTGCAACCAGCCGTACATAGAGGCAAAGTTAGACAGACTTCTCGAACTTGGTGTGTAGGACAAAACCAAATGAGGAATTAGCATGGTTGGATGTCAGCCGGAGGTAAGGCAGGGTGTGCGAGGCTTTCTAGCCCATCTGTGTTCGAATTATAATTGCCCATCCAACAGCATTACCTCCTGGGAGATTTTCTAACATACCACATATAGGCCATACAAGTTGTGCACGTCCCTGTGTTCCCAACCGTCCTGGTGAATGGCATCCTTGTGCATGGTCACCTCTGGACCGTTGAACACGGACGGCTCGTTCATGTCGTTCCACGTGAACAGGTGGGGTGTAGAGCCCTTGTAGTTCTCCAGGGACAGCTGCTCCGCCCACCAGTTACGGGTGTCGGCCCGGGTGAAGTCGGGATAACTGGACGAACCTGAGTTGGGCAAGGTAAGTGTTCTAAAGTTGTCAACTCCTCCGATCTGACAGAGAAACTCTGTGCGACGGCAAAATGTATGACAACGGTTTCACTGTTTTGGAAGGCAATGACTAACACACACTTAACTCTAATGCGTCCTCGATCTTTATTCAGCATTGAGATTTTCTCTACATAGCGGGCAAAATTTGCTTTGTTTAGTGGGTGTGTGGGGGGAGGGTGTTAGAATACTTTTATTAGCATAATATCATGCACAGTGTCTGTGTTGCTGTTTGCCTTGGTGAAACTTGTGAGTGTG